TAAGGTATGCAGAGCACACAGTCACCAAAGAAATCAATCGGTTAACACTTCTGGCTCTCGGTCAATTAAATTAACGGAATGTAGATTGACCCATCTCATGTTCAAAACGAGGATTGTGCATTTTGCATTTCCCAGGAGCACATCAAAATGGATCAATTTACTAAATCCCACCAAACTCATAGTCAAACTCACTTTATTTCCTGTCAATATATATATACACGTCCTACTGATCAAATAAACATGGTTTGTATCCACTGACTTTTTCGGTGGAGAAAAAGCTACTGGATGATTTGTTTTTCTCTCGTAATTAGGAACAGTTGAAAGCAGCTGAAGCTAAGCCGAAGAAACCAAGGTATGTGCACTTAATTTTTCAGTACACATGCACTTTCAACCATCTTACATCGTTCGGGGATAATCGGCCTCCATCCACTTTGGAGAACTTGTCTGTGTGAGGTTGCCAGTCGGACTGCGGCTTCAGCTAGAGATAACGTTTTGAACCCTGCTTCTAATCCTCTGGATTCGCCGACGAAAACGGCTCTTCCATCCGTTGGGATCGTTAGTTTTTAACCTTATAAGAGTCAAAGTGATTAGAAAGGGAATAAATGCCTGGGAGACTGTCACGAATTTACCATGGGAACTGAACCTTTCATGAAACTATCAGTTAAGGAGGATAAGTAGTGGTGACTGACTGCTTGTCTGATTTTGTTTCAGATCACCAGGAGAACAGCGAGTGGTTGGTGCAAGTGTAAGCGTGCCACTCTTGAATCAAAGGCATTTTATTACAAGTTAACTGGTTTCTTTAGCAGGGAAGTGTTCATTTAATACAAAGCTTTCACTGAGAGAGCCACGTTATGGATGTGGTTTCCAAATGTTTCGGCTGCCCATTAATTAGTGGAGAAAAACAAGTTCTTTGCAAGCGGCGTAAAGTTTCAATTGAAAATTTACAGTGAGCCCTTGGCTAAAGATGACTTTTAAGTAAGTCCAAGGTTAATACGTTGTAATTTTGCCCGGAAGATCGAGAAATCTTCTTAGCCATATACGTGGGGGTAAAAAAGGCAGATGGATGACGATTTTTGAGAGCGGAAATCTCGATCAGTCCATGGACTTCCTATTTTGTTCATAGGACAGTAATGATAACATCAGTATAAACACTTTTTAGTAAAGAGGTGTAGGATGAGATCCACTTATTTTTTTCATTCCAAAGGTTTTATTTTCGCCGTTGAGAGAGTTCAAATGTTTTTAAAACATGACGAGACTTGCATTGCACAAAAGTCTAATTGAATTGTCTGTTTGCAGAATGGACCAATGTCAGACATGGAACAACTGGAACTTTTTGAAAAACTTGAGAAAGCGGAGGGACGGATTGTTGCTCTTGAAAAACAGGTGAAGCACTCAGCTGCATTGTTTCACTTTTTGGAAGTGTGGAGGTTTGCTTTATCTGACATGTCATAAGGTAGTCAAAGTTTTATTAATGAATTGCCCATTTTATCCTTTGCTATCCTCTGTCAAGTCCAATCAATCATTTGGGTGGGAAGACAAGAAAACTGTCTGCTAGACAAATGAATAAAGGGGGTAAGTTCCTAAAGAAACTGTGGAGCTGCGTCGGTGGGAGAGTATAGCAGGAAATTTAGTGTTAACAACTGAGTTCGAAACGTCAACCTTTTTACTCTTTACGGTGGCTAATTTACGTTTTCAACTCAGTTGTTAACACTAAATTGTCTGTGAGACGGTCAGTCACGTTGGATGCCAGGCTGACAGACAGAAAGAAAGAAAGACTGACAGACTGACAGACAGACAGGCAGACAGATGAAAACACAGACAGGTAGGCAGGCAGGCAGGCAGACAGAAACTCACACAGGAAATTAATGTCTGGTTAAAAAAACTGAAAAAACAGCGCAGAGGTGTAATAAACTTAGCTCTAATATAGCTTTCTCGGTTTCCTTGCGTTCTCTGTAGTTGGCAGATAACGTCAGAAAATGGGCGAAGGATAAAGCCGACCTACAGGTGACTATTCTTCCTTTTTAGGAGTAACAGTGTTGGCACAATTTTTTTTCGGTCTAAGAATTCTTTTGGTCCACCAAGTCCTAGTTCTCTATATCTATCAACATTTTCAGTTACCTATCTATTTTGTTTCCGAGGCGTATATTGTTTAAAAATGACTATGGATAGTATCAGTTTTGCTGATGTACCTTCCAAAATGGAAAGGAGAAGTCAGTGATGATGTGTTGTTTGAGTAGCTTCTTTGTTTATTTTCGCAGATTAAATTAAACGAAAGTCAGGTCGCTCAGAGGACGGGATACAAAAATTCTTCCACTTCTGTAGATATTCTGGACTGGGTTTGTATTAGTTTCTTTCTTCTTTTTCTATAGGTAACTTTTGTAAGACTTCAAACTAAGTGGTTGCAGATATAAGAGAAAAACTTGTGTCTGAATGCTGCCTCAGTTTTGTTGTGAGTGACCGTGATAGTACTAGTATCTCACACATTTCATCCTCTTGATCCCATGACATGAGAGCCCACTTTCTATCCTGTCCTTTGTTCTGTCTGAACTAAGTGGCGATACACAGGAAATTTGTTTCCTTGAAGATCGGCTCGTTCAGCTGATCGATACATAAATTTCTTGTTGTAAACCAAGAGGCGATTACCTCATGCATTTTTCTGTCTAGTTAGTCTGGCTGTTTGGGTAAACAAAACGTATAGGGGTGTATGAAAAGAGTTGAGAAAAGCCAGGGCCGAGATCCTGTGATGAGAACGTTACCTCTCTATATACTATTAAGTCTTAAACATTTAAGTCGAAAACCTTACGTTATGAAATCCAGACCTTTAGGACCAACTGTAAATCCACCCCGATGTTTAGAGTTTTTATTATTCCACAGCATAATGGACCAAAGCCAAATTCACCTTCAAGACATTTGGGTCCGCGACGACCGTCACCTAAACTGGATCCTTTGGAGAGAAGATAGCATTTAGAACTTAGACTTTCTTAGTGGATGATTTCATGATCAGAGGACACTGGGCTCCAGCTAGGCAACAATTATCCCGAACGCATCGATCCTTTCTCAGCTTTCTCTCTAGTCAAGATCTGAATATTAATTTTCCTGACTAAACCATGCATTCTTTGTCGAGTATTCCTCGAAATTTGTTTTTATGTCTGGATAGTAATCCCCGACTTGATTTGAGGGCTTTTCAATTGAGTGTCGTATATCAAAAACCAAAGCAAGAAGAACTATCAATCAGAATCAAAGAAACTATCGCAAAGAGGAGCCAATGAGTGCTCGAGGCAAAAACAAGCAAACTGCCCGAAGAGCGGGAAAACGCAAGTCACCAAGTTGAGATTGGTGTTAGTTTTGCATCTGATTGGTTGAGAGAATGGCGCGAGTGAGCTTGACCAATCACAGAGCTACAGAAGTCGACTTTTGTGCAAGTTCATAAATAAAAGGTTTCTGAACACGATGAAAGAAAACGCCGAGGAGAGAATAATGATCGACGAAATGGTTCTTTCAGGGAACTATGTTCGACGTTGAGCATATCCGATATTTGAAAGGCGATCTTGGATCTTCAGATAGTTAGACTATGAGAGGATGTGCAAACTTATGTAAGATTTTAATGCTGGGAAGAGAGATTGATCTTTCACTTGCTATGAAAAGAAGGGTATAAATACACCTGTGCGAACATTGAAACGGTCTCAAGGCGGGCCGATATCTCGCTTTTAGGCGAATCTCTTTTGAACCGCTGAGCAGATCATAGGTTACATTTGTAGGCACGGCCTCCTTTTTCATGGCGTCTTGACAAGTGGAGGGGGACAGGGGGGCGGGAGCCCGGGAGAACAGGGGGCGGAAGAGGGCGGGAAGCGGGAGCAGAAATAAAGAAAGCAATAATGTGTTGTTTATTACTGAGTACTGTTCAGTCAAAAACACTTATAGAAAAGTTTCGAAATTTCCATTTCACATCCACCAATGCTTAAAAGAAAATTTTGGAAATCTTTCGGTGAATTTGGAAATCCATTCAATTTGATTACGTCATAGGTCATGAGATAGCATGACTCATGACACATCTACGCTTATACTTCAGTGTCAGTGTCTGGTAAGCTGTAACTGTCGAAAATCTCCGGCAAAGAAAGCGATTCAGGGTCATTCAGGTCAAATGTCGTCAAAGTCTATTTTAATCGGCTTTAGTATTTTTTGAGTGTGGAAACGAAATATCCGTGCATGGAAGACCTTCTTGGGAGCTTGCTCCGTATGGCTGCACATTCCAAATTACTGAAGATTTTCCCTCATGGTGCAAACTTGTTTCAAAGGAATGCCGCTTCAGTGAGCGCGCCGGAGAGTGCGGAGTGGTTCTCTTTTCAACGCAATTTTTTTGAAAGTTAACCCGGGTTTCTGATCCTCTTGATTAACTTGAAGACGGGAGCAACACAATGAAGGGTGGGAGTCGGGAGGCAAAGGGGCACAAAAGTACGGGAGGCAAGAGACTCTGACCTCCCATGTCTTCTTTCTCCCCCCCAAAGCTGAATAAGGAAATGCAGCGTCACAGCTAAGTGGTCAATGACGCGGGCTCAAGCCCTTGAGGTTAAAAATTCAGCGAAATTTGAGGAGAACAATAGGTCTGGTATTTAAAACCAAGGTATTCTGTCGTAGTTGAAGGCATTTTCCTATTTCCAGTGTTTTTATGGAGAAAATTAATTTTTGAAAATATTTAGGGGGTGTACAAAGTTTTCGGAGGTTGTTCTCTAAAAGAAAAGCGAAAGGGAAACAACGTCCAGAAGCAACAAATAGAAAATCGAACGTGCAAACAACTCAAAATCCGTTTTCCTCTTTTCCGCGCCAAAGCTTGACGCATGCGCAAATATTATTCAGCTCTGTCGGGCGAAACTTTATCTTTCTGGGTATAAACAAATGCAATAGAGTACGCAAAATGATAGTCCTTTGGAATCTCCGCCGGTTGCGATATTTAGGGGATTGAGATTTATCTATTGGTGAAGGAAAACGTAGCAATAATAACCATGGCGTCTTCCAATACATCGAATGCTGGAAGTAGCCACCAGGAGCAGAGAGAGCAGAAGGTCCTTGATGTCATATTTCTCTGTGACGAATGGAAATCTTCAAAGGGTGGATTGTCAACTTTCAATCGAGAATTTGCCATTAATTTGGCACAAGCGACGACTGGTAGCATGAAAATTCACTGCTATGTCTCTTATAGCGATGATCGGGACAGAGAAGATGCTAAACAACATGGTGTCAATTTAATCACAGCTCGAAGTGTTCCTGGTTCAGCCGACCCCCACGAGTGCTTGAAGTTTCCACCCTCGCAGCTCCCAAACCCACATCTGGTGATAGGCCATGGAAGAAAGCTGGGTATTCCTGCATATTTCCTAGCCCAGTCTACAAAGTGTAAATGGGTCCAATTTGTTCACGTCTATTGCGAGGATCTTGGGAAATATAAAGAATCTGCCACGGCTGCAGAAGATACAATCGAAGAAAACGAGAAGAAGCACAAGATGGAAATTGATTTGTGTAAAGCAGCGGATGCAGTTGTTACCGTTGGCTCCCGTCTACAACAGAAGTACAGCAGACGTCTCCTTAATGTTGAAGTGAAGATTATCACTCCTGGGATCTTTGGAAAGTTTTCCAATGAATCAAAATTGGCTGTAGACAGATCGGTAGTAAAGAATTTTAATGTGTCTTTGTTTGGCCGAGCTGCCTTTGAGGATCTTTCCCTGAAAGGCTATGATGTAGTTGCAAATGCCATTGGTTCTCTTGGTGAGAACTTTGAGTTGACATTTGTCGGCTCATCTCCCGGTGAACAACGAAAAGTTGAGCAATGGTTTCTTGACAACACGTGCATCAACCGCAAACAACTAACCATCCGTCGATATTGCAGTGAACAAGAGGAACTCAAGGTGATGTTCTATGAGTCAGATTTGGTTGCTCTGCCATCCCGTACCGAAGGATTTGGGCTCGTTGCCCTTGAGGCCATTTCTGCTGGTGTTCCTGTTCTTGTCTCTGGCGAATCTGGCATAGCTGAGGCTTTGCAAAAAGTAGAAGGTGGAAACACTGTCATTGTTGGATCAGGTGAAAATAAAGATGAATGGGCACGAAGGATCAGAGAGATGTATGAAGAAAGCGCAGAAGAAAGAGAAGCCAATGCTGTGAAGCTTCGCGAGAACTACAGGAAAGTTTACTCTTGGAAAGCAGAATGTGAGAGGTTTAAAGGGCTGATTGAAAATGTTGTGAAAACTGCAAATGGTGAGCCCACTTCTTTTAATTTTTCTTTTTTTTCAGTACATTTGCTGAAATGTCATGCTACATGTACAAGCCAAACCTTATGTGTAGAATGAGCCACATAAGGCAAACTGAATACTGGTACATGTAGATAAGCATAAGAACAAGTAAAGTGCTCCTGTATGTCTGGAGTCGTTACATTTATCTCGACTTGTGGTTGGACCACAAGTGAATTGTCTACTTTATTTTTTTTATATTAAATAGAGGGGTCTGTATCTTGCACTAATCAGATTGCCACTGAAGAGTATGTATCTCACACCAATCAGAGTGCCGCATGAGGGTATTTATCTTGCACCAATCAGATTGCTGCATAAGGATATTTATCACATAAACTGCTGTGTTATGCAAGGATTTTTGGCCCTGAGAAAAGCCGTAATAACACGTGAAAAAATATTGTATTTTTTCACATGTGTTGATATAGCCAATCAGCTGCACGTCACTTGCCTTTCGCACCACTCGGTCAGGTTGATGAATGAACAGCAAAGCCTTCATGACTCTCAATACAAGTTGTTTGTCGGAGTTTTCTCGAATTATGGCGGCTAAAACACTTAAAAAATCCTTATCGCTGGCAGACAATGAGGTTCAAAGTTTCCTAGAAAGGGAAGGAAACCAATATACTAAAGAAAAACCAAAAGTTGCGTATTCAGTGGCTTTGGTGTTAGCATTTCTCTTGTCTGAGAATGAAAATTGGCAACTGGAAGATATGCCATTAGCTAATTTTGGCTGTTTACCTGAAAGACTTCTTCTGTCAGTAAGGACAGCATTCAAAGTGCAGTCAGAACATACCCGATAATAGCACTACATGAACATTGGGTAATTTTTCATGTTCTAGAATTGTACTCCATCAATCAAATTCCATTTTACCTCATTAGACTTTGCTCCATGACATGTCATTTCCCTGTAAAAAACCTGCATTTTATCATGTATTCTAACTGCATTTTCTGACACCGCTAAAAGAAATTCACACAGAACAAAATGGGATCGATAGTGAACTTTCCTTGCAATTCTCCCATGTTTTGAATTTGTCTACAAATAAAATTTGCTTTTAGCTACCTTGGACTTAACCCAATTGCATGTCAATTCATTGTAAACAACCTTCGTTTTATCATGTAATTCACACACAGAGGGCACAGTCTAGATAGGCAACAGCCAATCAAGGAGCCCTCTTTAAATTATTATCCTTTTCTCTTGTTCAATGTATCTTCACTTAATCAAGATTGTAATTATATGTCTTTGACCAGGGTCCATTGGAGACACAACAGAACTTCAGTGTGCTTTTTGTATTAAAATTAGATGAAATCCTATTTTTGGGACAACTAACTGTAGATGAGTAATTTTGATTTTCTCTCCGCAAGAGGAACAGCAGTGAGCATGGTCTCTTTGGCAACCATTATTTGGTCTCACATTTTAATAGTTAAATAGGTAAGAGGTGAAAAAACCTTGTTATAGTAAGATTAAATTTGACTGTTACAATTTAACAGGTGGTAAGTTGAATGTTAAGGTTGCAGTTGATGACTTGAAACCTGAAGAACAGAATATGCAGACTGGAATGTTGGCAACAGAGTCTGCCAGATGTCAAGGGGTTCAGCAGCCTAGGGCATCTGCTACATTAACTGCATCTGGAAGTGTGTCCTATTCACAGAAAGAGCATCTCAATGCCCTTGAAAAGGAAATCTTTCTATCAATTGTGCAAAATTATCTCAAGACCACACCACCACAGTCCCCTGAAGAGCACAGTAGGTTCATGGAATACACACAAAAAATGAAGCTCATCATTACTGGTGTTGCTGTAGGAAGTTTGGTGATAGCAGTGAAGTGTGAATCTCTAATGATATTGGAGGAGTTGTGGACAGATTACTCATCTGGTCGTCTTGGTGAAGTGGTTCAGAATTGTTTTGTCACTGAAAAGATCTTGAAGGAACTGAACCTGGCTGAGCTGAGGCTGAAGACAACAATAGACATAGAAGAGTACAATACATGCAAAGCATTCTTTGAGAAAGATGCTCTTAGAGGTTGGTAGAAAGAATGTAACAAGGCCTGGTCCTATCATAAAATATTTGTAAAGAGTTTTGAATGAAATCCATCAGTCTTTCAACACATGGAGTATGGTAGGGTACATGTCATTAAGGGATGGGTGCAGTTTTTGATCAAGATTGATGGAACTTGTCTCTGAATAAACTCATGCTGACTATTGTATGTAAATCATGCTGATGCAAGAAGTAATTTGTCTGCAAGACATTCAATTTGATGTTTTATTCTTCTCAAACATCTCTTCCCAGTAACCTTTTATCTTTCTTACTAAGACATCTGGCTCAATATTTCCTCTCTATAGGGTTGTATTTATCTTTCCTTAATTTATTTGATTGCATCCATTAATCAAAGGTTAATTGGCAAGACTTTTGTTGGAGGGACCATGAAAGAAAATTTTTTCTAGTTTTTGCATGTTTGGTGTTTTTAAAGATAGTTTGAGGTGTCTTTATCTTTTAAAATGTGTGTCTTCTTGTAAATCTGATTTTAGATGCTTTATCCTCTGAATTCCACTCCACAAGTTCAACCAGTGAAAGTCCATTAACAAAAGAACAATGGGAAAAAAGTGAACAGAAGACAAAGATTATGGAGACGGCAAAATTGGAAGGTGAAAAAGAAATTAAAAACTTGTATTAATTTATTATGGAAAGTTTTTGTGAACAGTAATAACAATTATGTGATAAATCTTTGAAGAATAATTTCAGTGCTATTTTGTGGCATCAATAATTTAATATAATTGTACACAGTTCCACTTATGGGAACTAAACATTTGTAGAGAAGCTGTGAATGTTAATCTCTCCATTTTTTTTTACCTTGACACTGTATGTGGAAATACAGAAACCTTTTGTAAAAGACTAAAGGCAGGTACATGTAGATAACATGCTATCATTGCATGCATGCTAGATTGCATGATTTATTTCTGTAAATGTTTTGATATGGATAAACTAGAAGTAATAGTTCCCTTTCAGTCACCATTAACTTTTTCCCACTTTCTTCCGTCTTGCGGATACATGTATGAAATTTGTCATGTTACAAAAATTTTGTGTACTGGGTACTATTTAATTGGAGGATTGGAGTGCGATTTCAGGTTTTAGGAGAAGGAACACTGGTATAGAAGTCCTCTTATACTGATGACCTGCAAGCAGACTATTATCCAATATGTTTGAAGTTTAATGTGATATTAATGGTTTCAAGTGCAGCTGAAGCACAATTTTAACTTGGACACTTTGTTCCAAATCAACAGATCAGAAATTAAACATCAAAGTTGATGTGGAACATGTGAAATGTGCAGATCAAGATGCTAACAGGACAGCTTCAGTTTTAGCTTTAGAGCCAGCTGGATATCAGAAAGCATCCACAGCTTCAGGCACAAAGAGAAAAAGACATTCTGATGCAGATTTAGAAGATCTCCAACCACTCAAAAAGAAAGTATTGTGCTTAATTGCCATGAATTACCTTGATACTACACCAGCACAGAGCAGGGATGAATGCAATGAGTTTAAGGAATACTTACAAGAAATGAAGGTCTTTATCATAGGTGTTTCTGTGGGAAGTTTGGTGATAACAGTAAAGTGTGATTCTCTCTCAAGCTTGGAGGAATTATGGGAAGATTACTCTTGTGGCCTTTTGGATAAGATGGTACGAGATTGTTTTGTAACTGAAAAGATCTTGAAGGAACTTAACCTGGCAGAACTGAAGCTGAAAATAATGATAGACAAAGAAGATTACAATGCATACAAACTGTACTTTCTTGAGAAGGATGCACTCAGAGGTCAGTTGAAAGAAAGAAAAAGGCCTGGTCCTTTGGAAGAAGGGTCCAGGTTTTGATCAAGATAGAACTAATTGTCTCATGAATAAGCTCATGATGACTATGTATACAATGACAATCTGTGGCTAAAAGTGATTTGTTTTCAAGAAATTTCCTAGTTTATTTTCCTGTCTGTCTGGTTGTATTTATCTTTGGCTCCAAATGTAAATAAAATAAAACCACCCTAAAATAAAAATTGGCAAGATGTTTGTTGGAGGAACTATAAAAGAAAAAGTCACTTGTGTTTGTGTGTGGGGTTTTTATAAAAACGATTTGAAGTGTGTTGTATGGTTTTGAATTTCAGTATTCAGTGATTGCTTCACTATTTGTTTCTTTTAAATCTGATTTTAGATGCTTTATCCTCTGAATTCCACTCCACAAGTTCAACCAGTGAAAGTCCACAAAAACAAGAAGAGCTGAAAAAGTGGAAACAGAAGACAAAGATTGTTGAGACAGAGAAACTGAAAGGTGAAAACAAAATGAAAAGATATATTAAGTTATTATGGAAAGTTGTTGTGAACAGTAATAACAATTTATTATTTGACAAAACTTTGCAGAATTATCTCAATTCATTCAGTGTGGCATTAATAATATTAATACTATTTTAAGAGTTCAACATATGGGAAACAACATACAGGGTATCTGAAAAGAGGCTGTGAATGCTAATCTCACCCTGTACTTTTTGCTCTTAGGTACTTCACCCCTCACTGTAATACCCACTACCACTAACAGAAAGGAACTTGTAGAGAAAGGGCAGGGAAGGAAAGGTGAAGAGGAAGCTCAGTTTGAGTTAATTTCTAAAGTGAATTAAGTGTGTTCAGCTATTATGTCGTGTAAAAAAGTGTGCTTTGGGATTAAACATTTAAGGTTGCTAGGGTCTGTAGGGTAAAACTAAACTGACAATTATTTGAAGTAGTTTCAGTTCTTCATGAAAAAGATTAATTTGAAAGAAAATAAACCCAATTTAGTTTCCCCTAAGGGAAAGTTAGGATGGTAGTCGCTGGGGATGGTGAAACAGTATTATTAACAATAAAATGGTAATAATGATAATAATTATTAAAATACTAATCATAATAATAATGGTATAATAATAGTATAATGAAAGTTTTTTTTCAACCTTAATCATAAATTATGTATTGAAAAACTGACATTGGTGATGTGTGTTAGATAAATTTCATGCAGTTATATACAGATGGTCACATGTTGATTTGCTGTGTTATCATTTCTCAAGTGAAAGTAACACCATGAATACTAATATTGCTGTAAATAATGTTAAATATTGTAAATTATTCCAAATATGTTTGTGCCTGAATCTCTACCTATTTTGAAGGGAATTTGAGTTGGTTTGTGGAATAGACCCTTTAGACCCTACGAGTGATTAGCATCTAATTTCTCCTTATAATATCACTCCTGAATCGCACATTAAGGTCACGAGAATGAAGGAAATGGTCAGCAGGTAAGGAGACTTTTGATTGGCAAGTAAATTCTCCTTTTCAGCACCTTAAGAAATGTATAAAGAGCGGTGTGGAGAATATGCAGACTGATGATAGGATCTAAAGGGTTGAGATAATATACATGAGTATGTGTACATGAAAGAGATGTTTTGAGGGTATCCAGTCAAGTCGCCGACCGTTCAACTCGCCAACGCCAACTCGCCGACGTATAAAATCGAGTAGAAACGTCGGCGAGTTGGCCTCAATCCAGTATTGAACTTATCGGAAGTTAAACATATAGAAAAGTAAAAAATCTTCAGGAAAAATCAATTTTTTTCTTCCAGCAAATTTTATAAGGATCTCATGGCGAATAAAGCCAGGTAAATATCGCCAATAACCAAGAAAGCTTCAGACGCCAACGAGATAATTATTGTGTGACAACAATGCTGAAAAGTCTCATCATTTCAATCGGTCAGGTTTTTTTTTAAGAAAACTTGGCTTTCTGGACAAAGTCTTCAGTAAAAAAAAATTCTTTTTGTTTCCAACAAAGTTTATAAGGATCTCATCGCGAATAAAGCAGGATAAACATCGCAAATGACTATAAAAGCTTCTGACAGACAGACGCAAACGAGCTATTGTGTGACAACAACACTGTGAAGACTCATCATGTCAATCGGTCAGATTTTTTTTAAGAAAACTTGGCTTTCTAGACGAGATCTTTCGTAAAAAAACAATTATTTTTATTTCCAACAAAGTTTATAAGGATGTCAAGGCGAATAAAGCGAGGTGAACATCGCCAATAACCAAAAAAGCTTTAAATGCGAACAAGTTATTGTGTGACAGCCACCGTCATTCTCGATTCACGCTTCGGTAGCTTACTTTTGAAGGAGTTTACGTTTGGTCCGTCTTAATACCGGGCTATGCCGGTGAACGGCAAGCATTTTCTAAACGCTTTTACAATACAAATACGATTAGTATCTAACCAGAAGCTGACCAGAATCCAAAGAAGGGCTAATAGGCGATTGCAGAGTAAGGTGTTTGGATTTTGGGAGAAATATGAGAATGGTAAAAAAAATAGCGGCTCAGTTATTGAAATCAATGTCGAGATTAAACGTTTTAAATTTTTATTTTAATAAATTAAATTAATTAATTTAATTAATTAATTAAATTTTAATTTATTTTAATAATTTTTTTTTTTTAAATTTTATCGTACATCAAACGTTCTCGATCATGAATAAATCATTCTTTAAAGTTAAAAAAACGTGGTTCCGCGTGGTTGCTATGGTTCACACAATAACTCGTTCACGTCTGAAGCTTTAATAGTCATTGGCGATGTTCACCTTTCTTTATTCGCCTTGACATCCTTACAAACTGTTGGAAATAAAAATAATTGTTTTTTACCAAAGATCTTGTCTACAAAGCCAAGTCTTTTTTTGAAATCTGACCGATTGACTTGATGAGTCTTTACAGTGTTGTTGTCACAATAACTCGTTCGCTTCTAAAACTTTTTTGGTCATTGGCGATGTTCACCTTGCTTTATTCGCCTTGAGATCCTTATAAACTTTGTTGGAAATAAAAATAATTGTTTTTTTTTTTAATGAATATCTTGTCCAGAAAGCCAAGTTTCATAAAAAAAATCTGACCGATTGACATAATGAGAGATTTATAGTAATTTGAGATTTACAGTGTCGTTGTCACGCTCAATAATATCTCGTTCACGTCTGAAGCTTTCTTAGTCATTGGCGATGTTTACCTGGCTCTATTCGCCATGAGATCCTTATAAACTTTGTTGGAAGAAAAAAATTGCTTTTTCCTAAAGACCTTTTACTATTCTATGTGTTTAACTTCTAATAAGTTGTACTGGATTGAAGACCAACTCGACCGACGTTTCTACTCGATTTTATACGTCGGCGAGTTGGCGTCGGCGAGTTGAACCGTCGGCGACTTGACCGTAATTCGTTTTGAGCACCTTTTTTAAATCTATCTTTAACTACAAGCTGGTATGCCTTTTTCTAACTATTTATCAGTAGAAATGCTAATCTCTCTGTGTATACTTTGTTTTATGCATGTTGCCTTTTCCTGGATCTTCTACCTTTGACCCTGAAGAAGAACTAGGAGGGCTACATCTGAAACTTCAAAGAATGAAAGATGAATGAAAGATGCTCTTAAATTAAATTTCACAGTTAAACTTAACTGAGAATGCTTTTAAATACATTTAGCTCTCATTAAAAATGTTTTTTTTTTAAAGGAAATTATACCTGATTTAGTTTTCCCTCACTCTGTCCTTCACCATAAGGGAGTATAATAAAGTTTGCATGCCTTAAAAAACTGACAGTGATGTAGTTTAGATAGATTTTGTATACCATTTTCAATCAGTAATTGCAGGTTAAGTGATACCATGAATTGCTCTTTGTACTTTTTCCTTAGGTACTTCACCCTCCACTGTACTGTCCACTGCTGGTCACACAAAAAAAGTGGAAGCAAGACACAGCACAGTGAAATTTCAGGGAAAGAAAGGCGAGTGAAAAGAGACACTGAAGCTAAGGATTAGTGATAATTAAAATTTTTGGGTAATAAATAGAATGCTCTTAAATTCTTTTAGCAGTTATGTCAGTTGTTACTTTTCCAAGTACAGTTGCCTCTTATGGCTGCAGACACCCAAGAGGGTGATTTAGTGTCTGCAGTTATGAGAGTCACTAATAATGGGGTATGAGAGAAATAAAAAATTTTATGAAATATGAAATAATGTGACTACACAAACATAAAGTTTCTAACATGACCCCATGAACCAGAAAAAAATCTGCCCAAAAACAAGAAATTCTCATGTTTGCACCCAATTGAAGAAGGGTTTCTTTATGTTCATTTATCTTTTATATTATGTGAGTCAGGATTTTGGAGGAAGTATTTAATTGTCTGCTATAGTGAAGGAAAAAAACAAGTGAAATGTTGTGCTGGGTGGCAGGAAAAGGATTTTATTTCAGTCACTTCTTAATATGCATTTCCCCAATATTTTACTTTAACATGACTATAATTTGCTGATGGCACAGGTATACCTGTTGTAATCATTTCTGTGTAAAGTAAGAGACTGAATTTTGAAAAGCTCTGTATACATTTGCTCCCAGGTTCTTCACCTCCCCCTCTTCTCTCCACCACTGATCTTGAGGAGAAGCTAGGAAAAGTATGTGAGGAAATTGAGATGCTGAGAGTGAAAGGTGAATAGAAAAATTCATATCTTATCATTTTTAGGGAGAAATTGCATGATACAAGGAATGCTAATAACTGTCCATAAAGTTTGCTTAAGTTTCAAAAGGAGCTAGAATATTGAAAAGTAAAAACCAAACATTTTCAACTCGAGGGTGATGATGAACTAGTTTGAAAATATTTTCTTTTTAATTTTTTATTTATTTTAGCCTTGTAAATAGCTCAATGCTATTAAATGATTTCATTTTTTCCAGTAAATACCAGTACTCTCCAGCAAGAGAAATTATTCCCTAACAGAGATATTAACCTTTTTCTGTCCTTACTTTTATCCAACAATACTGCTCTTAGCTCTTATTCAGTAACTTAGTTTTATTAAGAAACATATTTTCAATTCAGTTTTGCCTCATAATCTACAACTTCAGTCAAAGGTAGTGTTAAATTAGCTGTGGCATTTGATAATGAAATAATACTTATAGATAGGTTATTTCACAATGATGTAATGGAAAACATGCATCATTGTTTTTGACTTGACCTTCATACATGTTAGTATGCTTTAACATTTTATATCAGGTGAGGCATTAAGTATTAAATATATTTCTGTGTACCTTTGCTCTCAGGTAGTTTTTCTGTCCTTCAATTTTCAACCATTGATCTTGAGAAAAAACTAGCTGAACTACGCATGGAGCTTCACAAGCTCAGAATGGAAGAAGAATATAAAATGTTTAATGATTCATTATCAGAGAGAAATAAATCCAAGAATGCTTCCAAAGGCTTTCACCCCTGTATCGAATCATCACTTTTCAAGGGAAATTATTCCTTATTTAAAAGAACCTCTTATCTGATTTTATTACTGTTGACGAATGCTTCCACTCCTTATTAAAATTATACATTTTCAAGGGAAATTATTCCTTATTAAAGACAACTCCTCTTCGTTTAAAATTGTTAAGTTAGATAGTAATCTAATACTTTCAGTTCTTCACACGACCCTAACACAATGTGCAGTGTTTGTTAAATGCCTGTTTTTAACCATTTATGTAAGGTAAGTCCGTGAATGCTAAGTACAGTGTATCCTTCTGTTTACCTTTCCTTTCAGGTACTTTGCCTCCCCCTGAACTCTTTACTGCTGATTTTGAAGAAGAACTAAAACGACTCTGTAAAGAACTTAACAGACAAAGAATGAAAGGTAAGTGAAACATGCGTATTGGCTCCGTTGAACAAGGCAAAAGAAATATGAAAAGTGATGCAAGGAAATGGTTGCACTTACTAGTATTTACGCTTGATTTTTAATTAACAAGCTAAAAGGTGAAACACTGTCTTTTAGTTTGTTTTAAAGGACTCCTATTATTATCTCTCAAATATCTAAGCCCCGCAAGCAACTTGCAAAACATCTGCGCCGCTCATGATATGTTGGAACATTGAATAATGTGTATCTACTCTATATTTAAGATTATCCCTGCTCTTATGTAATGTTATCAACAAGAATGGTGTTTAAAATTCTTTTGCTGTTTACTTCTTTTTTCAGGTAGTTCACCTTCCCCTGCTTCCATCATTAAGGTAGTAGTTAGACTTCAAAAAGTCAGGAAGGAAGGTGAATAAATAATGCAAATTTAGAGACAAAATAATTTTTAGCGGAATGCTATTAAACAGGTCCACTTCGTCATCGAAATATCTTTCTCCACGGAACTCCTGCACTTGCAGCCTTCTACTGCAATAATAATTAACAACTGCAATGCTCATTGGAGGCTTAGAAATCAGTTAAGTTCCTCCTTTGGCAACCAGCACTTAGATAGAGACTGTTTTCACGAGTGGTCAATCCTGGCAACCCAGCCATTAGCGGCCATGTATTAAGGAGACTGAAACCTCCCATTGCGCTAGAAAATAAAAATGATAAAATAATAGAAAAAAAAGACAAAGGAAAAGTGATTTTCTTCTTAGTGCGTGTTAAAAAATTATCTGGCTCAACAGGATAAACTCATCCTGGTCTTAGAAATTTTCAAATTTTGCAACTGAATCTAGCAGAAGCACAGGTACTTTTTCATTTTATGCGTAGTAGCGTGATGCGCGCGTGCAGTGCTTGGGATTTGCACGCGTATGCATTAAGTGCGCGGTACTGTAGTAAATCTTGGATGCAACTCGAGCATTTTATCAGAGTGCTAAGTCATTTTTAATTGTATCCGTTTACACCCTTGATTTGTTAATGCCCTGCGAGCGTCAGGCGTAAAAATTGACGAATGTCAACAGTTAGCCTTAACATAATATAACTGTTTATTTACACAATTCAAATTCCAATGAAAGGTGAAAAGAAACAAAAGAGGTTATCTCTTTCAAGTTTGTCTGCTAAAATAATTAAAAATCACAATGAAATAGTTGAAAAACTTCCTAAAACATTAGTAAAATGGCATCTGTCTTTTCTTAAAAATGTTCAGAGTTTCTTCGTCCGCAACTTTTTTAGGTAAATTATTCCATTCATTGACTATATTTACAAATAAAGAATTCTTAAAACTGTTTAGCTTTGCGGGAAATGGTTTAAGTTTATGGTGATGGTTGGCTTGTAACGGTCGAAAGTCATGTGTAAAGGTAAAATACTCAAATGAGTGTAGCCCGTTAACACTGTTAACTGTCCTAGAGCACTCGATAAGCGAAGAAAATAATCTCTGATGTAGAGTCGGCCAACTAAGGGCCCTTAAGCACTCCTCATACGACATATCTCGACCAATGTTTCTGACGGCATATCTAGATGTTCTACGTTGTACTTTCTCTAAAATAACCGAGTCCTTTTTGAAGTGTGGAGACCACACTGGAGAGCAATACTCGAGTATTGGATGCACTCAACTTTTGTACAATTTCGAGAACAATTCAGTGCTCCTGGGGCCCACTGTTCGACTTATAAATCCGAGCATGCTGTTTGCCTTGTTTGCGCATTTGTTGGTTTGCAGGCTCTATGATATATTTGATGTGATGTGAATTCCAAGATCCTTAACGTTAGATTAGAAAGGGTTCACCGAAGAAATGTTTCTTTTAGACTCCTTAAAGAAAAGAAGTCAACCGTTAGCTTTAATATGGTCTAAATTTTAACCGTTAGCCGTGAAAACCATTACCCCTTTGAGACCTTCATTTAGCTCGTGCATTAAATAACTTTTGCAAACGTTGGTGATATCTTTGAATGGCAAATGTAAATTTAACCCTAAGCTTGTCCGTGATCTGTCACAGTTAATGACAACATTGACGCTTAATTTGTCTTTAGAGCGGTGCCTTATTTTAATAATTCATCTAAACTGACCTGAAGTACTGAATTATTTTTGCCTTTTTTGTGTCCCTCATGATAGCATTAGAGAACGCCATTTATCTGACCATGAAATCAGGACTAGCGAAGTTTGATGTCAGTTTACCAGAGGAACTCCAGAGCTATATCAACTACTTATTAAATAAGTCGGTCAAACTTGGCTTACGCAGGCGAGGTACTTAACATTGTTAAAATAAGCTTGTGTTGGTTTTCAAACACATGTCCAGTTATCTATTTTCTGTTGCAGATTATTGAGAAATGCTAGGTTTGTGTAGTGGTCAAGGGATTTTTTTTTAATCCAGATTTGTGATCTTGTGTTGGGTTTTTCCTTTTTTTTTCTTTTTTGAAACAATCATCAAATGACGTGCACGGTCTAATGCCTGTTCTTAATAAGAAAAAAAAAATGATTTATAGACAAACCCCTTTCTGAAGGCCGTGTGTGGTTCTTACTGTCCGTCTCCTTGTTTTATCAACTCATTTCCTTTGATGATTCAAAAGTAAGTCGAAACACCGAGACTCGGAATTCTTTTTGTTTCCAATTTGCCAAGGTATCTTTTGTGGTTTGTCAGTTTTGAGACAAAAATAAATGTAAAGGTGGTTTTTTTCGCTGTAATGTTTTCAGGTAAAAGATTAATATTTCTTTTGTTTTAATCCTTTAGTACTCCAATCACCTCGAGCCCTGGAGGAATTACGAGAAGCAATGAATAAAAACGAATTGGAAACATTCCTTACTATTCACATCAGGGAAGGTGCATGGCAAGTGGTGCTGCTGTTTATGGATGAGCTCCCTAAATACAAACTACCATCGTACTGGTATCGTGAAGTGTGGGACGAGGACGAGGAGATGTTTAGTATACCCTTATACAGTTCGACGTCTGGCATATTGAGGGCGTGGCCAACAGAGTACGATCCTGGTTTGATAACACTGTGTAAAGCGATCACCAACAGTGCCTGGAAAGTAATCAGATTAATCCTCTCCGGCCGAAGGATATCTGATGCAGGTTTGAAGAACTTGAGTACCGCACTTACTCAGAGCGAACTTTACCGCTTGACACTGTATGGCATTGGTTTACAAAGTCAAGGATTAAAACACCTGTGTGAAGCGCTGATTAGTGGTGACTGCAATTTAACCTGCTTAAACGTCAGTAACAATAGGTTAGGAGATGAAGAAATATTACACTTGTGCAACCCACTAACCAGCGTTAACTGTACATTAACTAGCTTAAACGTCAGCGACAATATGTTAGGAGACGAAGGAATCGTGCACTTGTGTAACGCGCTAACCAGCGTTCACTGTAAATTAACCAGCTTAAACGTTAGTGACAATACGTTAGGAGACGAAGGAATCATGCACTTGTGTAACGCGCTAACTAGTGTTAACTGTACATTAACCAGCTTAAACGTCAGTGGCAATAGGTTAGGAGACAAAGGAATCAAGCGCTTGTGTAAGGCTTTGACTGATACCAAATGCAAACTAAGCAGCTTAAACCTCCACGCAAATTGGAATGTAACAGATGAAGGCCAAAAGTGTTTGTCTCAAATGTTAACTGGTACTGACTGGGAAGTTAGAGGAGGTCTTAGACTTTCCCGTTCAACTAGAAAGTGGAGCAAGTCACAAGTAAGTGGCACAGAGCCCTGACAGGTTCCTCCTCTAACGTTTCGTCTGTCATGAAAAAAATCCATTTTTATAAATGACAACTGAAAGATTATTGTTCAAGATAATTAATTAGATAACTGACCTTCTAGTCACTATCACTTGTTGAACGGAGTATTAAAAATGACCAGCAGTGAGGCAGTCGAAACATCGCGATCAAGATGAGAAATGACTCGGTATCATGACTCAAACGATTATTAAACGTTCATTATTCGATAGAAGAATTTCACCGTTTTAAAAAGTAGACTGTAAATGCAACTGAATAGTGAGTCTCTTTTTGGAAGCGTAGTTGCAATTTCGTATAACGGGTCTGTTGGCAAACTGTGCTTATTTTTGTGAAAATGTTTAAAATCTGCAGGCAAAACGTTATACTGGTGATTTAGGAATAATAAGATGCCTAGAATATTGAATTATATTGTGATAGCCTATTAAATGAATATCGTTGTGTTCTTAAAGAAAACTTCTAAAAAGTCTACATGAAAAAGTGACGTATAAATAAAATAACAGCATTTTATCTTTTATAGGCTTTCATATTTTTTGTTAGTAGACTCCAAGAGTATAATGTGTAAGCTTAATTGAAATATACTTGAACAAAAAGGAATGTTTTGTTCTGCCTTGTTCGTTTTCGAAGCCAAATGTAGGCGTTGTACAACCAATTGTATTCTCGTTCAAATGAGTTCATTTGGACTTTACCTAGTAAGTCATTTACACAAAGCTTGTGCTCCAGCTCGTAACTTTTCATCGTAGCTGATGATTTTATGAAGAGAAGAGTTATGTATTACTCTAAAATTACATACTAATCGTAGGAAATTGCGTACGGGTAGCTTAGTTTTTATAATTTAGAATCTCTTTTTTAATTAACTGGAATACTTCAGAATGTAATGTATATGTAATCTAATAGATAATATTTAGGTTATTGTTCTAAAGTTCTCAACTCTTGGTAGATATATTTCACATATATATTTGATATTTTTGAAAAGACCACACTAAACTGCGAAGTACATTAACCAAGGACAATGAATATGTGCAAGGACTGCAGTTGAATGAAATAAATATTTATCTAGCTTTAACAGATCATGAACATGTCAATAGAGCCTTAATGAAGGAAACACAGGCTAGAACACACGTATCCGTTTGTATTTGGTCTTGAATAAATAGAAGTAAGTCCCTCCTTGGTCAAAAGCAAAACTCTAAATGGCTTGCGCAAGAGCCTGGTTCAGGGCTCTTTGCGGGAAAGTGTCAAGTAATTTCGGTAGGCAAGAACGCTCTTCCATAAAACCAACTGCTTGGACTTAGCCATAGACTTCCTTTCAATCTTCTCGCAAATTTACTGACAATAGAAGCTCAGGGGAAAAAGGTCTGTAGCTCTCTACTTTAATTTTGGCACCTTTCACATAAAGCGGAGTATCACTGAGCTGTTTTCGAAAAAAAAATTAAATAAACAGCTATATTCCCAGCCTTCGGAATTATACCAAATTTGAATGAATCATTAAACAAAGTGCATAGGGGCGAGGCTAGCGAGTTACTGCAACATTTCAAGATTATTTCTTGATGGAATGTCGTCAGGGCTGCATCTTACATAGGCATTTAATTCCAACAGGAGAGCATTCGATACCTGCGCAAAATTCTTTGTGCTATCAGCTTTGAGGAGGTTAGGAAGATTAGTCAAATTTTCCGATGTGAACTAACGATTAAAACTATGCGCAATGGTTTTTTTTTTTTTTGATCAGTCAATCTGTACCAACTTAAAGTATTTCAAGATCGAAACTGGAAAGGGAAATATCTCTTTTATTGTTACGTCACTCGTTCTCTAATTCTTCCTTTCAACTAAACCTTATGTACATAAGAGAAAAAAGAAAAAACTTGAGAAAAAAATTGAGAAAAAAAATTGAGAAAAAAATACACAGGTCTAGAGACACTGCTTCTGTTCTTTGACAGAGCCCACAATTCACAGCAAACAGAGGCTGAGTATTCTCAGCCAGAAAAGGGAAAGGAAAATCGAACGCTTATGTCAGGCAAAAAGAATTGCGTCAAGCTTATTCAGCCCTCCCTCTGAATTTCTAAACCCCTCCCTCCCAAAAAAAAAATTTCTGAGCGTTCAAAGTTTTTTATCCATTGGTATATTTTTATTGTGCTTAGTGTTTTCATAACAGTTATTAAGATGACTAAGCTTGATCTTATTGTCATTACTCGGGATCAGCTGGGTTTCTACTTGATAACGTAGTTTTCAAAACGATTGAGTTCTTAGAAAGGTCCTAGTAGTGATGACAACGTGTGATTAGCCATGTCGGTGGTCGATTAAACTGAAACAAAGATACTCACGTCCATCACCCATACGCATAAACGGACCGGTTATTTAAACTAAGTTTAGCTGTTTTTTAACAAAACAGTGTCCTAAGCCATCTTCAATTTGGCCGAAAGTTTTATCTGAAAATTAATTTTTGCGAACAGTGTCAAGAAGACCGAAAGATAATAGTGAAAGGGCATCTATGTAATTAAATCAACCCTCTTATAGAGAATGCCTGAGGCCCCGTGATTGCGTAAAACCGCGGTTTGCGTCAGACCTCGTGTAATTAACCAGCCCCGAGACTCGAAATTCTCAGGTAATGTCTTAACACCACTCCCTAGTTTCCAATTTGCCGAGGTAGTTTTTGTGGTTTGTCAGCCTTGAGACAAAAATAAAAACAAAAAATCTGGAACCGTGTTTTTTAGCAATTTTGTTTTCAAGTTAAGTGCTAATATTTCTTTTGTTTTAATCATTCAGTACTCTAATCGAAATTTCGAGAAGCAATGGATAAATACGAATTGCAAACATTTCTTCATATTCACATCAGAGGAGGTGCATGGCAAGTGGTGCTGTTGTTTATGGATGAACTACAACACGTAAACTGTCATGGGACTGGTATCATGAAGTGTGGGAGGAGAACGAGGAAATGTTAAGTATACCGTTGTACATTTTGACGTCAGGCATATTGAAGGGGTGGCCAATAGAGTACGACCCTGGTTTGGTAACGCTGTGTAAAGCGATCACCAACATGGACTGGAAAGTAACCAGGTTAATCCTCTCTAGCAGTCGGATATCTGATGAAGGTTCGAAGAACTTGAGTACAGTGCTTATTCAGAGTGAACTTTACAGCTTGACACCGTATGGCACTGGTTTACAAAGTCAAGGATTAGAACACCTGTGTGAAGCACCGATCAGTAGTGACTGCAATTTAACAAGCTTAAACGTCAGTGACAATTGGTTAGGAGATGAAGAAATAATACACTGGTGTAACGCGTTCATCAGTGTTAACTGCAAATTAACCAACTCGACCGTCACAGGGACTTTCTTTCGAAAAACAGGATTAAAACACTTGTGTGATGCAATGATCAGCCCTAACATCAAGCCAGTTAAACGTCAGTTGCAATAGGCTAGGGGATGAAGGAACAAGGCTCTTGTTTACAATTTTGACCAGCAGTAACTGCACACTTATTAACCAGTTTAAATTTCAGTCATAATAGATCAGGAGATAGGGTATTAAAGGACTTACCTGAAGCTTTAACCAACAAGAACTGCACATTAACGAGCTTAGATATCAGTGACAAAGAATTAGGAGATGAAGGAATAAAGTGCTTGTGCAAAGCCTTAACTAATACCAACTGCAAACTACGGAGCTTAAACCTGCGTTCCTTAAGTCAGAAGCATAAGGCTCGGATAGGCACCTCTTGTTGCTTAATTATCGCATGTCAATTAAAATGTCATTGTTATGAAGGATAGAATTATTTCGTAGAAAAGGTTGTGGTTATTCATCGTGGTGAATAACAATTAAAGCTGGGTTTTTTCGTTTGTCTCACACGTGACTACATCGTGAGATAAACGAAAAAACTTAGCTTTTATTGATAGAATTATTGTTTAACGCTTGCTTTTTGATTGGATAAATGATCTACTCTCCATGAGTCGTCGATCAAACTGTGTATTCTAAACGATTCTCGGTTTGGCAACAGTTGATGGCATTGTTAGACAAACCATTATTAAACTTTCATTGATCTTTTGTTCATGTTAAGTTCCTTTCAGAAAGAAGGTTAAAATACAGTAGCAAGTCTTTTTCTGGAAGCGTAGATTCAATTCTGTGTTAGAGGTCCGTAGGATGCAAAGAATATTGAATTATATTTTTATAAAGTATTTGATGAATATGTTTGTTTTCTGGAAGACAAAATTTCAAACATTTCCGTGAACTAGTGACATACAAATATGATAAGAATATGTTTGTTTAATTTTAATAGCAGATGATGTTTTTTGTTAGTCGTTTCAGAGATATCGTATAACAGCTCAATTGAAAGTGCTCTCCTTTGTTGTTTACTAAGTTATTTCTCTGAGGCAGATTTACGTGTTGTAAAAACTATTGTATGCTCTTTTCAATTAGTTTCATCAGACTTAACCTCGGAAATCATTAAGACAAAGTTTGTACCCTAACTTATGATTTTTCAGCCTAGCTGATGATTTTATCAAGAACAGAATTAAGTAATACTCTTCAAATTACTTTTGGTACGAGATGATTTTACGGGTAGTGCAGTTTATGTGATAGTATAATCCCTTTTTCTAATCATTAATTCTAATCAACAGCATAAAAAGTTGTTGTCTTAGAAGTTACAACTCGCAAAAAAATATATTCTACATACATATTTTATAAGTTTTAAATATGGAAAAAAAGTTTTGAAGGCAGGAGATTTTGTACTTTATTACTCTATATTTATAACAAGTTTTGATTCGGACCAAAAATTTGATTCGGACCAATTGAGAATCAAGCTATGGGCTGGCGGGGGGTACTTATCTACACAGCGATATGTTCCGCCAAAAAGGATAGGGTGTCTTAAAAAAATTTAGTCTGCTACAGGTTTGAACCACCACGATCTTAAAGTGAGTTTGATACGGAAACTACGAGAGTAAATGAACACATTTCCCTTCGCCTCTAAAGGAATGAGAGAGAAAGAGCAGAAATCAAAGTCCACAATCTGAGCATAATTTTCCAGCTCAATTTTATCTGCCAATTCTTGACTTCTGCATTGATACAAAGCTCAATCCATTTTAGACACCACTTGTCAAATTCTTACTTAAAGCGTGTAAGTTATTAAAGGACCAGTCATTCGCCTGGGGGTGAGGTGGGGATGGAGGATTATGGGAGATGACTTGGTTTTCAGGGGGAGTGGAGGGGGGGGGGTCAATCGTTGCTAACAGAGTATAAAGTGGGGAATATAGAGAATTGACTACCAATGAAGTGTTTGTGCAAAATATTACAGAGCCTTAGGGGGGATTAGGTAACTTTTATTGTAACAACCATATTCAAATTCCTCCGACACCCCCAAAGGTAATGAACAATGACCAGTCCCGAAGATTCGTATAGATTGATAACTGTTCGGTAAGTCTGAGACTCAAAGCTCTATCAAAGACAAAAGACTTACATGTCGGAGAGCTCCTGTTTACCAGCGACTCTGTCCTGGTTGCTACTGATACTGATAACATTAAGCAAATTGTAGATCACCTAGTGATTAGTGATCTACCATAAATATTGCCTCAAAACCAGGACCTCTGTAAAACCCACGGAGTCTGGCTAGTCTAACCAGTCAGACTGATCAGACTAGTTAGACGAGTTTAGCTAGTCTGACTAGTCTAACTAGTCTAACTAGTGGAACTAGTCTAATTAGTCTGACTAGTCTAGTATTAGTCCGATCACCTTACATATTGATCAGTGGGAAAAACCGAAAAGAACCAACTCTGTTACATACTTGAGCATGTCACCATTGTCAATTCATAAAAAAATGGAACTTATGGTGCTTTTGTTTTGGTTTAACAGATTGCAACTAATAGACCTTTTTTTGATCATTGCACACATAGGCTAACCCCACTGACCCCATTTTCATCGATCAGTGCTGCTAACCAGGTTCGTTCTGTAATAACTATATAATAAGAGGCGAATTAGGTTAATTTTAGTAGCCTCTTCGAACTTTGTCAGATATCATTTAATCAGCATGAAGAAAATTCAATCAAATGGAAAAGAGAATTGCTTTATTCATATAATTCAATT